CCCGCCCCGGGCTGCTTCCTAGCCACCCTCTCGTTTGCCCCCTCCTCATCTGGGGTGCTGCCCCTTACCTTCTCCTGGGTGTTCCGCCGGTGTTCTCCCAGTCTCTCCCCTGGTGGGGGGGGTCGTCCGTTGCCACTGCGGAGGGAGGAACCGCCTCGGCTGCTTCCCCACTTCCTGGATCCCTTGGAGGCTGCTTTTGAGCCTCCTGAGAGAGGCTGCGTCCTTGGCCCCGCCCCCCCGCTCGGCATCCTGCCAGTGGGGCGCCCGGGTGGAGGCCCCGCCCCCGCGGTCCCGACAAGCGGCGTGCTCACCCGGGCCGTCTCCGTCGGCCTTGGCAGCCTGGTTCCTGTTCTCCCGGGACGGGCGGGACTGCCCTTCCGAGCTGGCTGCCCCTGACGCTGCCCTCCCTGGGCCGTTTGCCGGGGCAGGCGCTGCCCACCTGTCTGTGTTAGTGCAGGCCGCTGCCGGCCCGTCACAGGAGGAGAAAAATTGTTCACTTTAACCTCCGGTATGAAAAGAAGCAATGGGCTTAAACTACAGCAAGGGACGTTTAGATTGGAGATTGGGAAAAGCTTCTTACCTGTCAGGGTGGTTAAGCACTGGAATAAATTACCTAGGGAGTTTGTGGAATCTCCATTACTGGAGATAGTTAAGAGCAAGTTATACAGACATTTGAGAGTGATGATCCAAATGGCGTTTGGTCCTGCTGTGGTGGCAGGGGATTGGACTTGATGACCTCTTGAGATCCCTTCCAGTTGTAGTATTCTATGATTGTTTAAAAACCTAATTACAATAGAATCTCACAATTGCGATCACCAAGGAAAGGGAGGCTGTTCATAACTCTCCAGATCTGGTGTGGTTGGAGAAATACTTGAACCTGGAGGTCATCTGACCCAGGCTCTGCTCCATTATAGACTACTGCGATATGCCTGAAGGCTGAGTCACTGCAGGATCTGTGGGAAGAGTATGTCAGCATAGCTGAGGTGTCTCCACATGCCTGAGTATTGCCTCATTGCAACTGTATTGGAGGGGCAGCCTAGGAACCAAACCTGGTTTGGCTGTAGGTTTGCCTCGTGCTGTACCATATTAATAAACCTAACTGACATTGGTTATTTGGTCCCTGGTTCATTATTTCTTTATTAAATTTACTCAGAAGCAATTGATTATGCAAGTTATCAACAGTCTATCAGAAGTAAAAATGTGTTATCTTCCAAGCTGTGTAACTTTGAATAAACTTTCCTACTCTTCAGCTCTACATGAATATATGTATGATGTCCTGGAGAGTGTCCATGCCAGTGCAGAGCATGCATAAAAAAGAATGCCCCCAAGAGAATACTTGCCACTTCTTTAATGACTAGTTTTACAGAAAGGTAACCAGACTGTCATCTGCAAGCAGCTGAAAATATAGTCTCACTTCCCTCAGGGAGGCTTCTGCAGGACCATTGACCAGGAGGGCAGGGGACTGGACTTGATGACCTCTCGAGGTCCCTTCCAGTATTCTATGATTCCTAGTATTCTATGATTGGCAGGAGCCTCCCTGGTAGGTTTGGCCCTCCCCCAGCCTGTCCCTGCTGAGCTGGGTTTCTTCCTTTTTAACCCTTTCTTCAGCTGGAGCATGTTCTGCAGGGTTGGATGGGCAGTGCCTTTTAGCCCAGTGTGGGATTTCTATACCCCATCACTGGCACTAATTAGATTTATTTCAGATAGGACATTAATGGGGGAAATTTTATTCGTTCTGAACCATAGTCATATTATGTGAATTACTAGCTGTCAGAAACAAAATTTTAACTGTTGCAAAAGGTACTGATCTCTAAAGCTGAGAGATGCCCAGATCATTTTCACCTTCCAAGGCTTTTTACTGATAGAAACTACTATGAGAGCTGAGAATGGATAGTATTGTGTTACACAGAGTAAAGCTGAAGGTGAATTTCACCCATCAGTGTTTGTTTTCTGGAACCCAGAGGAAATGAAGGTGTTTGTTTAACAAAGAAAACTGGGGGCCAGCTGCTTTTTCTGAATCATTGCCTGAGGATGGATAACTGGAAATTGGTTGACTCACAATGATTTTCTTTCTTTCAATGTACATTTGCAATCAATTCTCTAAGTATTTGCAACTCAAAGATGCTGCTCTCTGATGAACCACTTGGTTTCGCAGGTTGTACTAGAGTTGTTGCTTATTTGTTGCATTAAGACAGTATTTCTGGTTCTGACCCTCGAGCCTGCTTTTGGTGCTCTCTAGTGATAGAGATGCAGCCGTGTTAGTCTGGTGTAGCTGAAACAAAAGACAGAACTATGTAGCACTTTAAAGACTAACTAGATGGTTTATTAGGTGATGAGCTTTCGTGGGCCAGACCCACTTCCTCAGATCAATATGTGGAAGAAAATTGGCACAACCATATATACCAAAGATGATACAATTAAAAAAAAAAGTGATCCACAAAAAGTTAGTCTTTAAAGTGATACATAGTTCTGTCTTTTGATGCTCTCTGTTATTCCAGAGACACAAAATAGCCATAACTCTGTCTTAAGCAGCCCTCTTAGGATCCATAACCATAAAGAAATCCTTGGTTAGTATTGAGTTAGTGCAGAAACTTCAATGCCGCCATTCCTCTTAGGCTATGGCTACATTATAGAGTTTACAGTAGCAGAGGTGCAGCTACGCCACTGTCAGATCTCTAATGTAATCATGCTAAGCCAGTGGGAGCATGAAAGATGTCGGTCCAATTTAAATAAATCTGTAAGCAACTGAAATCCGGGTTTTCTAACAGGAAATTTTGGGCAATCTTAATTATGGTTGGTGCTCTATGTCCTGCCTACACACAAATGAGAAGCGAAACACAAGGAAGTGAAACAATAACTAATTTAGAATCTGCATAACTTTTTATGTTTCTGTGCAGATGGAAGACATACAGGGAAATAAGTTTCAGAGGGGTAGCCCAGTTAGTCTGTAGCAGGAAAAACTTAAAAAACAACAAATGGTCTGGTAGCACTTTAAAGACTAACAAAATATGTAGATGGCATCATGAGGTTTCATGGACACAGCCCATTTCTTCAGATGACTGGTCAAAGCTAAGGCTATATCTACACTACGAGCCTCTTCCGCAGGAGGAAATGCAAACTGAGCGCTCATTTGCATATGTCGCGCGCTCATTTACATTTCCTCCTCTGATTCCTTTTGCGCAAGAGGATTTTGTGCAAAAAAAGTGCTGTGTAGATGGCTGCTTTTTGTGCAACCCCCCCCCCCCC